TTGTCTTGGGAACTTGCTTTTTTAAAGAAAAGTCTCTTGTAAATAAACTGTGTGTATAAAAATATATGATTTATGGTGGGGAGAAGAGGGCTGCTTCATTTTTTGCCATTGGAGCAGTAACAAGTACTAATACATGAGCTGTTTAGCCTACTGGTAAAAAGCTGCATTTCCAATTCAAAGAGGGCACATGGTTCAAATCTACCAGCTGCTCCCCTGCAGAAAGATGGGCAATGTCCTCTAATATGCTATATATACTTCTCTGAAAATCGGTTGGAGAGTCAGCTATGGTTTGGTTCCAACTGGACTGTACATAATAACAACTTGATTCCAAAGTCTGAAAATGCCTCACACCAAGTAGTTTCCTGGACCTCCTACAAATGATTTTCATTATTAACTTGCCACAACACTTGACAACCTTTTGATTTCTTAAACACTAGCAAACTACTTTAGACACATTCTTGTCAGCTGGTACTCATTCTTCAACTAAGTATTATAGATAATGTATGAACTTGAAGTTATATCTGGATAGTAATGTCAGACCTTCCAGTTGATAATTGTGACATTTTGTTGTCACCAGCAACTCATAACAACCTTATGTACCACAGCTCTGAACCCTGCTCTATCTTGAGCCAATTTCATTCTACCCCCATTACACCAGTCACTGAGTCAATGCATCTCATTTAGGGTCTTCCTCTCTTGCACTGTTCCTCCACCCTTCCAAGCATGATGTCCCTCTCTAAGGGTTAAAGTTCCTCCTCGCTATATGTCCAAAGTATGTCAGACAGAGCCTCAAAATCCCTGCCTCCAAGCATTAGACTGGTTTCACTTTCTCCAGGATGGACCAGTTTGTTCTCTTAGCAGTGCATGGTATATTCAATATTCTTCTCCAGCACCACAACTCAAAAGCACCAATTCTTCTTCTATAATCCTCAGTCACTGTCCAGCTCTCTGATGCACAGCAAGTAATTAAGAAGACCATATTCTTTAGACTGCCACTGTCGTTCTCCAGTACTCTGGTGAGGTCCTTGATAGCAGGTTTTCCCAATGCAATCTGTCTTTTCATTTCCTGGCTGCTGATACAAAGAGTGTTGATTATGAAGCCGAGGAAGCTGAAATTGTTAACAATCTTAATGTCTTCACCATTTATCATGATCCTGCCAAATGGTCCAGGGGTGAGAATCTTTGATTCATCAAGTCTTGATGTTGAACTTCAATCAATATTGAAGACTGTAGTCCTCGACCTTCCACAGCAAATGCCTCAGATCCTCTTTAGTTTCATCAAGCGAGGCTGCGTCATCTGCATGTTGTTGGTTAGTCTTTCTCCAATCCTGATGCCACATTTTTCCTCATAAAGCCCAAGCTCCTGGATGATCTGTTCCACATACAGATTGTTTCCTTGCTGTTCTGATGACTGCCTCCTGATTCAAGTACAGGTTTCACATAAGCACAATCTGTTACTCTGCGTGTTCCATTCTTCTCAGAGTCAGTCACAGTTTGTTGTGATCCATACAGTCAAATGCCTTTGCATGGTCAATGAAACACAGACATTCCTCTGGTAATCTCTGCCTTCAGCTAAGATTGATCTAATATGGATGGTGCCACAGCCTCTTATAAAACCAGCCTGCACATCTGGCAGTTCTTTGTTGATGTGCTTTTCCAGTCGTTTTTGGGTAATTTTCAGTAGGATCTTGCTTACAAGTGATATTAATGACATTGTTTGATAATGTCCACATTCTCTTGAGTCACCTTTTTTTATAATGGGAATAAATATGGATCTCTTCTAGTCAATTGACCAGGTAGCTGTCGTCCAGATTTCTTGACACAACTTGGTGATTGTGTCCAGGGCACCATCAGTTTATTGAAATGTGTCAACTGGTATGCCATCAATTCCTGAGGCCTTGTTTTTGGTCAATTCCTTCAGAGCAGCTTGAACGTCTTCCTTCATCACTTTAGATTGTGACATTTAATCCTTTTATGACTCTTTTCATCCATTCAATGATATAAAAGCATCTAACTTATCTGGTTGTTGTTGCTGTTAGGTGCTGTCAAGTTGAGCACGACTCATAGCGACCCTATGAACAAAAGATCTGAACCTAGTCCTGTCCTGCACCATCCTCACACTTCCTGACACACAAGGGCCCACTGCAGCAGTCACCATGTCAATCTATCTGGTTGAGGGTCTTCCTCTCCATCGACAATCATCATGTCCCTCTCCAAGGAATAGCACCTCTTAGCAGTATGTCCAAAGTATGTGAAGAGAAGCCTCATTAATCTTGCCTTCAAAGAGCACTCCAGCTGCACCCTCTCCAAGATGTATCTGTTCATTCTCTTGGCTGTCCGTGGGATGTTCAGTGCTCTTCTCAAACACCACAGCTCAATGGAGTCAATTCTTTTTCTGTCATCCTTATTCACTGTCCAGGTCTCGAATGCATAGCTAGACTATGGCCTGAATCAGATGCACCTTAGTCCTCAAACTGACATCACGACTCCTCAATAATTTGTAAACGTCCCTAACTGCAATGCATCTCCTTATTTCCTGACTGTTGGTACCAAGAATGTTAATTGTGGATCCAAGAAAGATGAAGCTGTTGACAGTTTCAATCTCCTCTCCATCCACCACGACACTACCTATTGGTAAGAATATTTATTTTCTTGATACTGAGATGAAATCCATACTCAAGGCTGTATTCCTTGATCTTCTGCAACAAGTGCTTCAAACCCTCCTCACCTTCAGCAAGTAAAATTGTGTCATATGCATAACATAGGTTACTGATGATTCTCCCACCAATCCTGATGCCACATTTCTCTTCGTAGAATCCTGCTTCTCGGATAATCTTCTTAGCATATAGACTGAACAGGTATGGAGACAGAATACACCCCTGATGTGCTCCCTTTCCAATTCCAAACCATGCCATGCTCCCCTCCTCCATCTGCACAACAGCCTTTTTGGGATTCCCATTCTTTTCAGTATTAGCCACAACTTATCATGATCTACACCGATACCTTTGCATAGTCAATAAAGCAAATATACATTCTTCTGGTATTCCTCACTTTCAGCCAGGATCCATCTGATAATCAGCAATGATATCCCTGGTGCCATGGCCTCTTCTAAATCCCACTTGAACTTCTGGCAATTTCCTATCTATGTACTGTTCCAGATGTTTTTTAATGATCTTAAGCAGTATTTGCTTGCATGTGCTATCAATGATATTGTTTGATACTTTCCATTCAGAAGGATCACCTTTCTTGAGAACAGGAACAAATATGGACCTCTTCCAATCCACTGGCCAGACAAAAGTCCTCAAAATTTCCTGGCATAGACTGGTAAGTGCATCCAATGCTACAAGTTAACTGAAACAAGTCACTTGGCATACCATTCATTGGTTCTTGGGCCTTATTTTTTGGCAATGACTTCAATGCAACTTCCACTTCCTCTTTCAGTACCATGGCCTTGTTTCTGTAGTACTTCCTGAAATTTTTCAAGCATTTTTACTATGTTGTGCAATATTATATTACTGATTATGAATTTTTTAGTAAAACCATAAAAATGAGAAGAAAATATTTTAATCTAAATTCCTGAAACCAGCACACTGAATAATTTAGATAATCTACTAAAGCAGAAAAAAAGTTCCAGTAATTATCTCATAGACATTTGCTGGCCTTTGAATTTAGTAAGCAGCCTACAGATTTGTAGTTCTAAGTGAGAAGTCATATGAAAAAATGACCTATCACACATAGTATGCAATCCAAAATGAACGTATGTTTTGAGTCAATGAATCAGCACAGATTAGGTAAATGTATTAATAAACAGAGATGTAAATGCAACAAGAAGAGGTCCAATATGAAAAAAAATCCTTAAAACATACAAAAAGCCACTGAGAAGCAGAGATAAATGTGAGGATATTCTATAATACGCTATTCTATATACGTATTCTGTTTGCTATCTTGATGTCTGAAGGTAGTATTTAAAAATCTAGTCTTGGCTTCTGAAGATACTTTTGAGCACAAAGTTCTAGCAGGAAAAGCACTTGGCCACTAGCTGATTAGCAGAGTGCTAATCTAGCTAATTTTAAAAGACTTGCATAAACACACACACATACATTATCTTCCATTGGTTCTTAAATTTCCTTCTCTCTACTGAATCAATCAGTTTTGGTTTAAGAACTCCCTACACTACTCTGAAAAGGTTACAGAGATTAAAATGATTACTGAACTCAATGCAGAACTAATTTTATATTCTGTTGATGTCATTTATCATTGAATTAATTATAATTCACAGAGAACTTCTGTAAATCAGATTGGAACCTTGCCCTATCCTGAAATACCCTCCCAATCTCCTTGACCCCATTGGTACAGTCACTATGTCAATCTATCTTGGTGAGGGTCTCATCATTCTCATCTTATTATTTTTTCTCTGCCATTATATCAGTACCCATTCAGCAGGAGATGGCTAAGCTGCACAGCTTCTATGTATTTTTTTTAAATTAATTTTTTATTTTATACTCGTTTATTTACAAAGTTCAAAACAATCGTTTTTCACACTGGATCTTTCCCATTTCCTTCACCTCCCCTCACCTTTTTCATCCTATGTCATTTTATTATCACAGCCTTTAGAGAACATTAAAATAAAATTGCTTTCATTTTCTAAATGAACCTGGAGAAAGGATGAAAGTTATGCAAGTAAGTGTAGAGTACTTTCGTTCACAGTGTCGCTAAGAGTCGCCTATGACTCAATGGCACTTAACAAGAACAACAACATATGCAAAGAAGGTTGAGCTCTAAGTTCTTTCAAAATAGATTACAGGAGAAATCTATTTTTCCCCCCCATAAAGTTCTATATCCTAACTCACATTCCTAGGTAGATATAAATCCAATACCCCACTGTGGAAAACATATTTGGATGCACAGATATTCTATAAAATTAACCTAGCAAATTAATACATTAATACACTTTTTTCCCATGAAAAGGAAAAATAAAACTGAAACAAAGATATACCTACCTTTAAAAATTTTTCGTTGGTTAATAATGCAACTTGTTTCTCTGAAGCTTGATTTTCCACGTATCTAAAATTTTTAGAATCCCATAAACAAAAGGAGAAAATAAAACATTCTAATTATTTAAATAGAACGTGGAAAAACAGAACTATTTTTCCTAGACTGGTGCACGTATGTGTTAAGTTTCTTCTCAAAATAACAGTCAAGGTTCAGCGGCAATTTTTAACTCTATAAATTAGTTGGATTTCACAGTCTAGGGATATAATCACAAACAAAAGACATAAGTTCAAGATATTGTAATAGTATTTCCAATAACTTGGCAAACTCACAAATGTTTCTTTGGGAAAAAAAAGTTTTCATTATACCAAATTTTTTAACATAACAAAAAACAGCCATAATTAAAAAAGGAAAGCTTTATTTTGATCTAAACAAAAGACTCATTTCCCTTCCCCTCAAAATAACTAGATTGAAATTCCTTATTTCCCCACAAATAATACCATAAATGCATCATATCTACTACTTTTTTACCTCCTAAATGAAGGAAGACGTCGGATGTTTTCACATTGATTATTTGATAAAAAATGTGTTCTTCTCTTAGCTTCTAGGAGATTACAGCACAGGACACTGAGGGGCTGGGAATAGAAATGCTCTAATATAGAAAGCTGAAAGAAATAAAAAAAATTAAACACATTTGTTCAATTTTGCCAGTAAATCTTGTCATCTGTATGTGCTTACACCTAAGGTTGTTTTTATAAACAATAAATGTTTTTATGGCACTAATATACTGAATAATATCAAAATACTACTACAAACACCAAGGAAATAGCCATATAATAGTTAAAAATTTTAATTTTAGGGGGAGCTCTGGTGGCCTAGTGGCAAGAAGCTGCACTGCAATCCCAGAGGAACACGGTTCGAATCCACCAGATGCTCTGCTGGAGAAGGAGGCGCAATATCCTCCTGTACCAGTCAGATCTGATTTGACGGTACACACACACAAAATAATAAAAAAAAAAAAAAAATAAAAAAATTTAATTTTGTAGACAGCCAGAAAATGGTAGTATTTAGATATAAACTAAGGAAACTTATATAAGCGGATAGTTTCCTGCAGAAGCATTTTAATTTAAGAAAACAAAAAATGTGGTGCTAGTGGGACTCAGGTGTCACCTAAGACCCTATTAAGTATCTAAATACTCACAGGGAAATAGAACTTAATTAGAAAATGGTATTCTGCAATAATAAAAATGATTCATCTATTAACTAAAAGGAAAAAAGTAAAATGAACAACAAAAATTTTTTCCTTTTAAAATTGAAAACACAGTCATGTATTTGAGAAATGTAAGTTAATAGCTAGAAAGCTGTGGGCTCCACAGGGAAGGAAAGAATGATACTCCAGATTTCTAGCAAACCTGCAAGATAACACAGGATTATGTTGTTATTGCTGTTAGGTGCCATCAAGTTGGAGAGACTCATAGCTCATCATCCAGCAGGTTTTCAGAGGCTGTAAATCACACAGAAGGAGATCGGCTGTATTTCTCCCCTAAGATTATCTGAACATTAAATATTCTGATTCTTAGAAGCCTTCTCATGATCAATTTAGTTTTCAAGCTGCCTTGATAGGTGAACGTTTGTTCTCCATTTAGAGAACACAGGTATTCTGATGACTTGAAAATGTTATTCTCATCACAAATTAGTATGTCAGCTTACATGTCAGCTTTCAAGTATTTGATTTATAGGAATTAGCAATCTTGAGCATGATCCTTGCTGGGTGAACTACTAGGAATTTCTAAGCCTGAAGGGTTGAAATTCAGACTAAAGGTGGAAGGGAAACCTCGAAAATATTCTGCTCCCAAAGACTGTAAAGTGCCTGCCTGGTAACAAGTGCAAAACTGAAAGCATCTGCTCATGATGCGATCCATTACTTCTATTTTTATTAATTATATTCTAATTTCTTACTCATATTTTCTGATTACATTGTTGCTGTTCTTGTTCGGAGCTGTCAAACTGCTTCCAATTTATACTGACTCTACTTACCACTTTGGAAGCCAGAATGGCACCACTTCCTAAACATGCCTCCGGAAACTCTGAACTTTGATAACTGTCTACATACAGCAGAATGAAGAAGTGCTCAAGCCTGTACCAGTCTCATAATCATTTTAATATTTGAGTTCACTGTCACAACCATTACATCAATTCATCTCATTCAGAGTGTCCTTCTTCACTAACCATCTGCTTTACCAAGCATAACATCCTTCTTCCAAGACTGATACAATACAAAGTATGTTAAGATGATGTCTCACTCTCTTCACTAGTGGCAGTCCATGGTATAGTAAACATTCTTCAACAACTGTAGTTAAAATATATCAATTCTTTTTCCATTTTTCTTTTGACTGCCTTGCCTTTTCATATGCACTGAGTTGACTGAAAATATGACCAGAGTTAGGCACATCTTAATTCTCAAAGTAGCATCCTTGTACTCTTAAGAGGTGCTTTGCAGAAGAACTGCTCACTGTAATACCTTGTATTTCTGCACTGCTGCTTCTGTTGCTATTGAGAATATCAGTAAAATTAAACCCTTGGCAACTTAAGTTTTTCTCCACTTACCAGAATGATGTTGACTTTTCTAGTATTGAGGGTTTTTGTTTTATTTTGAAGTGTAATCCATACTTAGCTTTGAGTTTCACTAGTGCTTCCAACTCATTGTTTTCTGCAACCTACGTTATATCATCTTGTGCATACTGCAGTTTGTAAATCAATGTTCCAACAACTGTGATGCCACATAATCTAGCTTCTTGGATTATGTGCTCAACATACAGACTGAATAAGTATGGTGGAAGGCAGTAACCTTGACGTACATTTCTCTTCATTTTAAACCAAGCAGCATCTCTTTGTTAGATTCAAACTACTGTCTCTTGGCCTAGGAACAGCAATCTCCTAGGCACTATTAAGTGTTCTAAGCCCCACTCTTCACAATGTTTTCCATAATCTGTTATAATTTACACAGTGGAATGCATTTGTATAGTCACCAAAGCCCAGGTAAAATCTTTATGGTTTCAGCCAAGAGCATCTGATGGTAGCAATTTACCTACGAATTTACTCTTCCAAATCTGGCATGAATTTCCGTTTTCTGTCATTGTATTACTATATTCATTTTGAATCATTTTCAGTAAAATTTTACTTGTGTGTGGTATTAATGATAATATGTCTATATTTTCCTCAATCACTTTTCTTTGGAATGGGCACAAATAAAAATTTCTTCCAGTCAGGTGGCCAAGTAGCTTACTTTCAAGTTTCATAGCATGAGTTCACCATTTGTTACAACATATGTATCCACTTAACATTTTAATTAGTATTTTATCCTGGAGTGGTTTTTTATCAAGGCTTTCAGTGCAGGCTGGACTTAATTAATCTATTGGTTCAGATGCAACCCTTCAAAATGGAAGAACTACAATGAATTCTTTTTGTTATGTGGTGTCACACTTCCTGCAACTCATAATGACCCTATGCCTGCCCTATCCTGAGCCAGTCTGTCCCGAACAAATCTAACCTCATTAGCCCAGTTACCGTGTCTGTCTGTCTATCTATCTATCTATCATCTATCTATCTCATGAAGGGTCTTCCTCTCTTGTGTTGCTGTCCCACCACCATTCCAGGCATAATGTCCTTCTCCAAGGATTGGTCCCTCCTGGCAACATGTCCAAAGTATGTGAGACAGAGCTTCAAAATCCTTGCCTCCAAGGAACAACCTGATTTCACCTTCTGCAGGACAAACCTGTTTGTTCTCCTAGTAGTCCATGGTATATTCAATATTCTTCTCCAGCACCACAAGTCAAAGGCATCAATCCTTCTTCTGTCATCCTTAGATACTGTCCAGCTCTCTGATACGTACATACCAAGTAACTGCAAAGACTATATGGTTGGAAATGTACACCTTAGTCTCCAGACTGACATCGTTGTTAGCACTTCGTAGAGGTCTATGACAGCAGATTTTCACAATGCAATTTGTTTTTTACTCCATGTATGCCTTCCATCTTTTTTATTATTTCCCTCGCATCATTCAGTATTTTGCTGATATAATAAATCAATACTACAACCTGAAGCTTAGATTTTTTTGTTTGTTTGTTTTGTACTGTCGAATTGGATCAGACTGGCATGGGAGGAAATCGCCTCTCCTTCTCCAGCAGAGCATCTGGTGGATTTGAACCATATGTCTTTGGGATTGAAGCACAGCTTCTTGGCACTAGGCCACCAGAGCTCAAAGCTTAGATTTTTTAATTCAGTTCTTTCACTTTGAGAAATGCTGATCACAGTAATGTGATAATTAATGCTTACTCTTATACTGACACTTAAAAAAAAACCAAACAAAAAACAACATAAGAAAAGGAAAAAAAACACACAAACAAGATAAGGAGTTTGCTGAGGAGCAGCAAGGGGCAGCAGTTTCAAGAGTTACATAGCGGACTCGAAACAGCAGAAGAATACAAGTGTCTTCGCAATGTCTGGATACATTAACTGGTTAGTTAAAACACTCAACTAATGTAGGAAGGACTTTAATCCGTTTCTTGACATCTTTCGCTTGACCTTGGCAACACTTCAATTTTTACTGGTCTCGTTCTCGTCTTAGGTCTTCTATCTTTGATCTTTTTCTCACTATGGGTAACAGCTCATCTTTATCATGTGGCATCAGCCACTCCTTTTAATGATAAACCTTAAATATCTATTTTTAGTCCGAATGCCTCTTCAATTCCAAATATTTCTATCCAATAGACTCCTATACTACTCACAATATAAAAGAAACATTCCTATCTTAGAACAAACTTGTTCCACTCTTCGTATAGTACCAACCTGCAATCCATCTGATAACTGTAACCTGTATGTCACCTGATGCCTCCTTCTCTCTTATAGATCCTATCAAGCAGTTCATCACCATTTAGTCAATACAAGCTCATTCTCAAAGTTAGATTCCTCCATCTGGTGTCTTTCAGTACACAATAAGCACTATAAAGGCAGCGATTCCATTTTCCTTTCTATCTCTAAAACCTAGCACATTACCTGGTTTAGAGCAGCCCCCTTAGTAAAAAGTATCTATGAAAACCCAAGAGCCAACATTGTTCTTAATGGAGAGAGGTTAAAGGCATTCCCTTTAAGAACAGGAACTAGGCAAGG